CCGGCATCCTTCTCCCCCCCCCCCCCCCCCCCACCCCACCAGCATCAGCAAGTGACCCGCTCCAGGGCCGCAGTGCGCTCTCGGCCACGCCCCCCGCCTGGGAGGAAGCGTGCACACACCGAGGCACGTGGCCCGGCCCCCTCCACCACCTCCCCTGAAATTCTGAGACAGACGCATTCACAGGGGAACCAGGAACAATGCAGGGCGGCCAGCCTGGCTCCAGACCTGAGGGGGAGTGGCGGTCACCCACATCCAGGCTCACAGGTGGACAGAGCTGGCCTGCCCTGGGGCCCCTCTTGGGGGGGAGGGGCAGGTAGCTACTAGAACACAGCTCCCCCGTTTGTCTTTCCTGAAGGAGGTGCGTAGGGTAAGGTCCTCTTTGAGTTCACCCCTTACTAGACCCCACTGCCCTCTGCTAGGGGCACCTGCCCCTTCTTTCCTTAGGAATGGAGGCGGGAAGCCCTGGCCACAGCTAGGGTCCTTAGGAACCCTCTGTGATAGGGTAGGTGACACCTCACCCCCTTCCCATCATTCTTAATGTGAGGGTAGGGTGTGGTAGGTACCCACCCAGGTCCGCGTCTCCCCCTAGCCCGGAGGAATGAGAGCTGGGCCTCGTCCCTCAGACCCTCCCCCACTGCAGCCCCCAAAGTCTCCAGGCACGTGTGGGCTGCTGGGGGGTTGAGGAGGGGAGAAGAGGGTGGAACCCGCTGTGCCTTCAAGAAGCTCAGCCCCGCTCCCCCTCCGGGCCGCCCTCGGGTGATTAATACCCCTCCTGACGGTCTCGTTACTTATTGATGGCCTAATCCTGCTCGTTAATTCCCCAGCCCTCGTTAAAAATGAACAGAAGCCGTTTGTGCTTGTACAAACCCCAGGACCCAGGATGGATGTGCAGGCGGCGGGGGCGGGGCGGGCGGCGGCGCCTCCTCATTGGCCGGAGACGTGGCTCGGCCACGCCCTGTCCCCCCACCCCCGCGGCGGGGGTGCGGGCGGCGGTGCGACCGACGGGGGCGACGACCTCGGGGCCAGCGACGAGCTCATCACCTTCCAGGACGAGGGCGGCGAGGAGCAGGAGCCCAGCAGCGACAGCGCGTCGCTGCAGCGGGACCTGGACGAGGTCAAGTCGTCCCTGGTCAACGAGTCGGAGAACCCGAGCAGCAGCTCGGACTCGGAGGTAAGGCGCCCCGGCCGGGCTCCGGCCCTCAGCCCTGGCCCCTGGCCCGCGCCCGCCTGAGCCTTTGTGTCTCCTCTGCAGGCGGAGAGGCGCCCGCAGCCCGCCCGGGACGCTTTCCAGAAGCCGCGGGACTACTTCGCCGAAGGTACGTGCCCGCCCGGACAGCCACTCCTCGGGCCTGGCCGCTGGCGGGGCGGGACCCCTGCGCTCGGCGGCCCGGCCGCCCACCGCCTTCCCGGCGCGGATCGGGGCGAGGGGCGCGGGAGGGGCGCCCGGCGCAGGCCCCCACGCGTCCGCGCGGAGCTGCCTGCGGACCTGGCCTCACCCGAGCCCTGTTTACCCGCAGTGAGGAGGCCCCACGACGGCGCATTCTTTAAGGGCCCCCCCTACCCGGGGTACCCGTTCCTGATGATTCCGGACTTGAGCAGCCCGTATCTCCCCAACGGCCCCCTGTCCCCCGGCGGAGCGCGCACGGTGAGTGGCCGGGGGGTGGGGCGCGCGGGGTGCTCGGGCCGGCGGGTGGGGGTGAGCGGGGCCCGGCTGGTTTGCGGAGTTGAACGGCTGGGGGTCTTGTGCTGCGCTGGCGGCGAGTGACTGCGTTGGCCAGTGCCTGCACAAAACTCAACCAACTTCATACATTGTCTGCTTTTGTGGGGTCCGCCCTGGACTGCAAACTTTTTGCTTTAAAAACTTGGATTTGTGCCCGCTTCTGGGGGCCTCGCTTTCCTTGCTGGGAATCAGTCCGACTTTCCTGGCAGCTGGGCAGGGGGCCGGGGGGAGCCGGGCTGGCGACGCCGCCTCCCCGACTCCAGTTTCTCCGACTGGTGGGAGCGGGTCCCTGAGAAGCCCAGCGTGTTCGGGTGGCGGGTCCTCCCAGCCCTCCCCGGAACCTGAACTTTGTGCGCGGTGCCGGGACGACCCGAGGCATTCTTCAAGTTGAGGAACTTGGCTTTTTCCGCCTTTGTTGCTCGCTTTTCTCATTTAAAGCGAGTAGCGCTGAGGCACTTTAGACCTGTTAATGGGCGTGCATTGTGTGCTGCTGGCTGGCATTTAGAGTGGTGATTAAGCAAATTGACTGGGCCCCAGACAACGTGCAAATGAGTGCAGATTCCTTCGTTCCCCTCCTTGGCCCTGAACGCCCTCCCCCAAGTCCCAGCGAGGCCTTTTTGTCCCCAGGCCCTGCTCATCCGGGGTCCCCTGCCCAGGTGTTAGGTCCGATGGCGCGTGTACCAGGCCCCCCGCCATGCCCTTGTTTGGTCAGGATATCCAATGCCCGCCGGTGGATCCGAATTATTTGGGGGGTTATGGAGGAGTAAGGAAGAGAGAGGTGGACCCCCTGCGCCAGAGCAAACACACTGTTCTCAAACTGTCCTCACCGAGATAATAGGGATTACCTGAGAAGGGGCGGGGGGAGGGGGAACGGGCGGACAGGCAGACACCATGGGGTACTTTCACCCCCAAATGGGGTTGTGGGGCTGGAGCTACCTCGGCAGGGGGTAGCAGGACCACACAGCTCTCTTCCAGCAGGGACGCCCCCATAACTTTGGCTTGGTTGGGCTTGTGTACCCCAGGAAGTTCAAAGTGTCAAAGTAAAACCAAGTGGGCATAACATTAAGTTGCTATCATTGATTCTGCTGTGCCGCAGAGACAGCTCTGTTCTCAAAGTTTGGGTAGAGATTTTCCCTAACTTTGCCAGAAGAGATGCCCGGAGAGGTGTTGTGCCGCCAAAGGCATATTTTTACATTTACCATTTGGAAGGAGAGAGGGCCGAAAACACCACCCAGATTTTCCATGCTATTTCCCTACAAGCAGCCCATTTCGTCTTTGGACGTGTTGGTCCTTTGAGCCTCCGGGTCAGAGCTTCGACGTTTCATCATCTATTTGCTCAGTGGAAACAGACCAAGTGGGACAGGTTTTCCATGTGATGGGCCCTCCCACCCACACTCCCTTCTGTGAACTTCAGTGGGCTGGCTGCCTTTTGGTGGTACCCGGTGTTCTGGATCTCTAGATCAAGCCTGTGTGGGACTGGGGAGTCCCCCGGGTGAAGGCAGGGTTGCCTCTCTGTGTGTCTCTGCCATGCTTCTCCCTGCAGCCACTCCCTTTCTTAGCCCAGGTGCCCTTTCCAATCTCTGGCTCAGTCACCTGCTTCCTTGCTGTCGTCCTTTATATAAAAAAATCCACTGCCATTGAGGTGCTCTGCCTCTCAGCAGTCAGGAACAGAGTAGAAGTGCTGTACTGGGTTTCCAAGGCTATAAATCTTTACTGACGCAGACTGCCACATGGTGCCCTGCAGAGTGGCTGGTGAGTTTGAATTTCCAGCCTTTGGTTAACAGAGCTCCTTTGGCCCTTGATGAAAGAATTTATTCATGCTATGCCCTATCCCATTCCCATATGCCTTCATACCTTCTTCATGTATTCCCAGACAATTCCCCCAGCAGTTCTATGCCTCCTGTGTCTACAGGAAGCTGTGGGTGATACAAAAGATACTTCACCATGAGGTCAGAAGTTCAAGTCTACCCAGAGGTCCTTGAAGATGATCCTGATGATCCAATATTCTCCACCCCCAAAAAGGGAAAAATAAAAAGGCATTGAGGACTGCAAGGAGCATGTTCTTCTCTGCTATACGTGGAGTTGAAATCTGCTCGACTGTAACATTATGTGGACTGTTAACCTGCCTGGTTACAGTTCATTGATGGATTGAGGATGTTTCCTTTCAGCTCTGTAGAACCTGCCACTTTGATCCTGACCATGGGAGTCATAGGCAGTCAGGAAAGCAAGTGAGGAAACACTTGAGCATTTGTTATCTGAACTGTAGATCTGAGATGACGATTATATTACTGTGAGTAATGTAATTCTCACTGTAGGCTAACTGTAGGTTAAGACACATTGGCCCTCTGTTGAGTCCTGAGCCTGGAGAAATGTGTATAGATGCACTGTGAGTTGGAGGAGTGGGGAGGAAGGTAACTGCATGTGTATCTTCTGATACACATCTTTTTTTCCTGCTATCTCAGATCTTTTCTTGCTCTGGGGGCCAATTGTGTAGGGAGTTAAAGCTGCTGACCCAATGAATGGTATTTCAAATCCATTAGCAGCTCTAGGGGGGAAAAATGGGAAGTCCTTTATCCTGTGCTCTTTACAGCCTCTGAAAGCACACTGAACGGTCAGCTTATGTATGAGTTTCGACTCAACAGTAGTGAGTTTTCAATTGGTTCTGCTTTCAGTGCACATCTTTAGCCATTTCTTCTCTAAGGCCTAAGAGTAGTATAAAATTGGGTGACTCCAGTTCTCTGCTGTTGGAACTTTATGGAAACCCCAAGCCTGGAGCAAAGGTGGGAGGTAGGAGTGGGGGAGAGGACTGGCTAGAGTGTTTTGACCTTAGGACTAGGTGGCTGCAGGACTTCTAGCCCCCTCACCTGCTGGAACAATCCCTGCTATGCAGAGGGGAGGGGCAGGGCCCTGGCCTCAGTTTGTACTGCCCTTGCCCTGCAGCCCCACTTGGCTGGAGGCTGGGAAGTGGCCTTTTCCTGAGCTGCTGTGAGAAGGTGCTGAGGACACTTGGCGCTCTTAACCTAGGGTGTGTGCTGGGTCTCTGAGCCAGGAGTGATTTTTACTTGGTGCCCCCGGGATCCTGTGGCCTGTGAAGATAGAAACATTGGCCACAAATAGTTTTCCACTATTTTAAGTAGTCGAATATTATATTCATTCATGAAAACGCATAGGTTTTTTCATCGCTAACCCATCTCTGTGCTGCTGACTAGAATTTTGTAAGTCCGCACAGAAGAAAGTGAATGTGTTGGATGTGGTCCACATGCTAGCTACGAAGATAGGAATTTAACTGTGATGGTGATATAAGTGTAAATAATTGTTTTGTAAAAGAACACTTCTGGGTTCCTGTTGAGGGAATTTCTGTTTTCTGTGTGTGTTATGTATGAATCCAAGAGCTGCTGTGCAGCTTTAAACAGGAGCTGTATAACGTGTTGGGCTGCTAACCAAAAGATTGGCAGTTCAAATCCAGCAGCTGGCCTGTAGAAGAGAGATGTACAATCTGTAAGGATTGTTGTTGTTTGTTGGTCATTCATAACAATCCTAGCTGACCCTTCAGTGGGTTTTCAGAGGCAGTTTAATCACATGGGAGGAGATTACTCATCTTTTACCCACAGAGCAGCAGCTAGTTGATTTGAACCATGTGCCTTTGGGATGGCAGTGCAGCTCTTTACCAGCAGGTCACCAGAGCTCCTTGAAAATCCCATAGAGGGTCACTGCAAGTTGAAATTGTCTTTACAGCCAAGAGTGTGGTTTTGGTTTGGTGCCGCTTAAAATGTTCTTGGATGGCACAAATGATTGGGACTCAACTATTAATCTAGAAGGTGGAGGTTTGAAACTCCCACTGAAGTAGTTCCTTAAAAGAAAGGTGATGTGCTTCTGTAAAGATTATAGCCGAGGCAGCACTGTGGAGGGAGCAGGTGAGCCCTGTCTCATGTGGGATCTCCAGAGATCCAGAGATTGACAGGATTACAGTGATAGCAACAGGAATGTGTTTGGTTGGCTCAATGCCACTGGACTTCCAGGTATCACTGCCTTCTCAGGCCACCTCTGCTAAACTTCTTGATGGGCGTGTTGTGCCCTTTGAGCACGGGTACTCGGTGTTAAGCCCTCTGCACCCCACTGCTTCCTGTGGGCAGTCTTGGTGATGTCATAGGCACTCCTGTTGTTCTTCCTGACACAGAATGTCCCAATCACAAAATCTTTTGTGTGCACCAAGACGCGGTTTCTTTTTAGGAGTTGTATGTAAAAAGCTAAGAAAAACTTTTCCTTTTGTGAGATCAGTGTAAACATGCTACTTTTGGTAAAATTCTTTTAAGCCATTTCATCTAAATATAACTTTTGTTCCATTTTTTTCTAAATATAACTCTGGATTTAATGAGGGCTTTTCACATGGACTGAGCATTGGAGAGGGTTTGGCTTGCATCACTGAAGTTCTGGCACGTGCACTGTTGTGGTGGGACTAGCGACAGGCTCTGGGAGCCACTCGAACCCTGCTACTTTTTTCCTTGGAGTGAGTGCATCTGGCAGGGAATACTTAACTGACTGTTAATTTTGCAAAGTTGTAGTTTGGTTTTGTTCTTCAAGGAATCCACTTCTAGGGCTTTTTGATGGGAAAATAGGCAGGTGCACACACACACACACACACACAGAGCTAGCATTTAACAAATAGTTGCTTCTGCGATGCCTCTGGGTGGACTGGAACCCTCAAAGTTTGGTTAGCAGCGTAGTCACTCTTTATACCACCCAGGCACTCTGGAATACTGAAAAGAGTCCTCTTGGGCTAATCTAACAATGGATGTTTGGAGGGAGTTTTTAATGCTTTGGTCTAATAACGTTCCATGTTTTATATTGTCTTTTTCAAAACAAGATTTAAGGAATATGAAATAAATGCCATTTCAAAAATCTTAGCCCTTGGGAATGTCACGTGG